AAGTTAGTACTTTCGATTTTCTATCCCTTTATGACATGTAACACAATAATAATGGGAAATGCAGGTAGAACAAATATAACTTGAATGGTGTGTCGTTTATTTCGGACTGTCGTTTGTTTGTTTCGTCAAAAGATTCACGCAATAGTAACAAGAGGCGGTGCAGTCCAAAAATTAGGTCGCGATTTTACCAGCATGTCGGATATATCCGGCGTTCGTTCCCAGAGGGCGATCATGTGGATGACGGATATATCCGGCGTTCGGCTCCGCGAGTGTTCATATGGATGACGGATATATCCGTCGTTCGGAGCGAAAGGGTTAAGCCGTTCGGTGTAATTCATTATTTCTAATGATAGAAGGAAGCGTAGAAATTAGAGATCGCGATTTCGGTCCAGCATTCACACGTTAAGCGCGGAGCCGATCTGGCTGGGTTTTCCGTTGAGGCGGCAGGCCGGCATTATTTTTCAACCTTGAGACTGCCGGTCCCATGCACCGATGCATGGAACCTGTCATTAGGAACCTGTCAGTTTCTAAAAATTGACGCCGCCCCTAAAAAGTACACTGTTAGTCCAAGCAAACTAACACCGCGCAATCGGAAAGTCCACAGTCAGAGCCCTAGGGTACTGACGCCGCGCTCAATGTGTTAATCCTTTGGAGTTTGACTTATTTTTCGATAATTTGCGTTATATCCGAAGTCAAGGTTTACGTACAATGTAGATGCTAATAATAAGAAATGTTGATTTTATTAGCGTGGGTTATCCTTTTTAGTCGCTACGCCCTGGGACATATGTGTCCTATTGGTTACATGTAAACAAATATGTGCGCCCTATGCATTCTAAGACTGATATATACGTGTATTGTGGAAAAACGGGATTCATTTTTCCCAATAGGCGTACAAAATACATAGGTGGGACACATATATCCCGATAGACTTCAAAGGGTTAAGACATAGATGCACTCGTGATCATTTCTTACGTGTAGTAAGAAATTAAAGATTTGTGTTCACCATCCCTTGATGACATTTTTTTCGAAATTGTCTTTTTTCTTTTTCAAATATCTTCTAGGTTGTTAATTAAATTTGAAAATATGGTGGACAAAACTTGTAAATCTGAACAAACCACGTGTTTTAATGTGTTTTTTTTTTTAAGAAAAATGAAACAAAAGCAAGAAGTAAATTGGAATTTTGTTTCATTTATGATACTAGTGTGTGTTTTCATTGTTTACATATGAAACACGTGGAACAGAGGTGCTACCGATAACATTTATGGACCGATTATATTTATAATGAGAAATAAATAAACGAAAATTCTAAAATTCTCTAGAAACCAGCTCGAAAAAGAAATAGTGACGACAGAACTCAATATGAACGACAGAATTAAATAATATAATTAAATAATACAAGAAATAATTCAAATTCATTGCATGAATAAGGTTATATAAAGAAAAAACTATATCATTGCATTAAAAAAAATCAAATTTGACCTTTATATCTCCTCTACGTCTCCACCTACAAAAAAACTATTGACATCACATTATGTGTCCCACAAAATCAAATAACTTTTGCCTGGTCCTCTTTTTTTCTATCATTACAAGTAATCGAGTTATCCAGGTGGCCTGTTTCAGATGTTTCACCCTGTATATAGGGTGTCCAATAATTATGTTACCACCCGGAAAAGGGTGATCCCTGAGGTCATTTTAAGTAACTTTTTCCTTAGCGAAAATACAATCCGCCGCTTTGTTTACGAGTTATCAACGAAAAACAGTGACCAATGAGAGGCGAGCTCGGCTGACGCCAGGCGAGCGAAGCCCAGTTCCGCTGATTGTCTCGGCCGCCTAGCGCCAGGCGAGCTCGCCTCTCATTGATCACTGTTTCTCATTAATAACTCGTAAACGAAGTCTCGTAGAACATTTTCGCTAAGGAAAGAATTACTTCAAATGACCTCAGGAATCATCCCTTTGCGGGTGTTAACATAATTATGGGACACCCTGCATGCTCTATTACTCTCGCTTACGACTACGTCACCACATAAGTGAGTGACCCAGTGTTAGACAGTTTATTTCTCAACAACCTAGTTTATATATTATAAATAATATTCTTTGTTCTCTGATCCTTGTGAAATAATTCAGACGATACAGTTATGTCATTCACCCGGTGTATTACGTTTTACAGTTATTAATTTGCAGTATACCGAGGGACTATGCATTCCATAGTTCCCAACGCGAGCACCAGCCCGTGCCAGCGGTCCTTAAAAATTCGATATCCAACTATTTTACTTTATTTTACACCTAACTATTCAAGATTAAAAAATTGCAGGCTTTACTACACCCGGATATTTCCGTGATGGAAGCTTTCGCTGACCAAACCGAGCTTCAAAAAACGGGCTATGAGACAAAACAGTTGGGAAACTATGTTGTGCCCGCTGTACGAGGGTTAAAAATTGTTTTCCCAGGGACCACAGAATTTGTATTTGGAACGATCCGCGAGAACATTTGGAAATTGAAACAGCGGTGCCTCTCAGCGGATTGCGGGATTTCACGTGAACACGGTCGCGCGTGGGCTCTTTCGATTGTATCGTAATGTCTCGCTCGCACCTAAATCCGAAAATTGCCTGAGGTAGAAACGATCTCGTTCGCGCCCGCGCGCCCCTCCCCCGATATTCATTGTGCCTACAATTCCCGATCTAATTTCATCCAGTTGAATGTCAGTCTCGAATGAGCCTGCCAATTGGGATTCGATTGGCGGTTATTATAAACGATCGATGACACCTTCGTGCATTTGAAAACCGTTCCAGTTTATCCTCGGCCTCGGTTTACCCATGGAAGTCGACGTCAGCCTGATTATCGGATATGTGATGAAATTTAATTACGTCCTACCCTATAACGCCTCCTACTTGACGGACTCATACATTCGGTATGACAGATCGATCAGCAGCGATGTCGAAGCCGACGAGGATGACGACCGTTCGCTGGATCACCAAGGTACATGACCTCGCTTCGTTGATGAATCCTCCTCGGGCCATCTCCTTTTCCTTTCTTCCTTTCTTTCTTCCACTTTTTCCCTCCTTCGATCATTTCCGACGGAATCCTTCAGGTGGTTCTTCAATATTTCTACAGTATCGAAAAATAGGAACAGTTGAAATTTGCCAACAAATGAGTCTTCCGATCTATTGGTCTTTCAAGAATTTATAACATCCTTAACCCTTAGCGCTCCGCGCGTTTCTCGAGTACAGCCTATCAGCAACTCCGGCACATTTTTGGAGCGAGATAAAGGAAGTCTTATTTTGAGCGGGAAAGATTACACGTCGTTGTGAATGCATTTGATATTTTATTTATTTTATAAATATACATTTTCGTATTGTAAATGAAAGATAAATTTTTAATTTTGTAATTCACCATGGTGTGATATCTTCGGTAACAATCTCCCATGTGCATTCTGGGTTTACTTGGACAAGTGTCACAGTATTCACTTTGCCAAATAGAGTTACTAGATATTTCTTTCAAGTTTAGAACATTTTCTGCGTAATTGTTCGTTTCCTTTATAATTTCATTTACCAATTCGTCCGTGAAAAATAATTTAAAATATTGTATGGGCTGTTCAATGTTTGTAAGAACTTGTGGTCCAATGACCTGTGGCAATACGCTAAAAGGTATTCTATCTGGAATATGTAATTCTTCCGTAACATCACGCCATTCATCTAAGTCTTGTAACGAATCTTCGCTTTCACTTTCAATAATTCTCATTCTTCGTCTCTTTGGTAGTATAATTTCGCTACTACTACTTGAAGTGTCAGAATCATAACCAACATTGTCTTTCACAATGTCTTTGAACTCTTCACTCGTGTTCCGTCACGTAGAACCTCCCGCAGACCTCTCTCGTGAAGGGTTTATGGCACGGACAAGCGTGGAGGAGACGGAGACCTTTTTTGGCAGCTGCCGAACATCCGGGCAGTGTCTCCGTCTTTTCTAATGATCGCGACGTGTCGTAAATCCAAAAGGCCCGAGAAAACTCCCGCAATAACACTTGAGATTTTTGAACGCGTCTTGGGAAAGTTAGTCCCAACCGTCGCGGGGATGACATCTCAAGGCCCAGAGGACCTCCCCAACCACGCAATTACGCGTCGCACCCCTCTTCAAGACAAGGCCCGTGCAGGACGGTACGAGAGGGTGGTGACGAAAACGTTCGGAGGACGCTGATTGGGAAATCATAATTTTCGAGAAAACCAATCAGTGCATCCCGGCATGGAGGTGGAGGTTCCTTCAAGAATCTCAAGTGGGGAANTATTGTATCGGCTGTTCAATGTTTGTAAGAACTTGTGGTCCAATGACCTGTGGCAATACGCTAAAAGGTATTCTATCTGGAATATGTAATTCTTCCGTAACATCACGCCATTCATCTAAGTCTTGTAACGAATCTTCGCTTTCACTTTCAATAATTCTCATTCTTCGTCTCTTTGGTAGTATAATTTCGCTACTACCGCTTAAAGTGTCAGAATCATAATCAACATTGCCTTCCACAATGTCTTTTAACTCTTCAAAATCAAATACGTCTTCAGTATCACTCAGCCCTAAATTTTCATCATAGTATTTATTTTTCTCCATGTTGCTAACCATAGAAAAGGTCAAAAAATGGTTTAATCGTAATGGTACAGACTTAGCACGTTTTAACTACAGATAACAATTGCTAACGCCGACGATAACAAAAAAACATTTGGTTCCGCAGCGGAGCCTTCGGAATTACGGAACAAATGACAAATGTCTCCGTAGCGGAGCCTTCGGAGCGCTAAGGGTTAAACTTGTTAGTCGGCGAATTTAATTTATCATTCGCGTTCACAGCCTGATCTAAACTCTTATTTTCATCGTAATTCATTTGTTGTTATCACGTTGTTTGATACGTCTATTGTCTCGTGTTGTCTATTATGCGTTGTCATAGTAAATATTCTGAATTTAAAAAACCAGTCCGTTCACAGATTAGAGCAAATCCGAGATTGCGATCACGATGAAGAATTAACTCAAACGATTTTCAAAACACATTTTTCAAGCGTTGCTTAAACGCATCATATTCGGGACACGTATTAGTACGGTTATCGTACATTATTGGTTGAACGACATATCTCAGTTTATGTAAAATAACGTTTTTTGATGATAAAATATTTTGGCCCATCGTTTGGTCCGATTTCGAAGAAGTTATTCCGTTTCAAGGAACGTTCGAATACTTTACTGACCCGGCGTGCATTGTTAATGAAACCACTAAAAATCTGAATATATACGTTCTGGCCACGGGGTGTTGTAAAACAGTTACTGTTAACACATTGCGGACGGCTCACGAGATATCTCGTTTTTAGCAAATTGAACGTTGCGGACGGGTCACGAGATATCTCGTTTTCATGTTTTTTTTATTTAATCGGCAACTTAAGCAACCAGCCGCAAATATTTCTGTTACGTAACCATGGTAACGAAGCCTCTCGCATTCCTAAGTAATTTTAGCGAAACAAATGAATCATTCCAAATATCACACTCTAAATCAATATTCAAATTTGTATAATAAATAATAGTTAAAATATAAAAAATCTTATATAATAAACAGATATATAAACTATGTATATATAGTATTATTTAAGAATACTAAATGCACAAATTAGAAATGCGCGTATCCGCTTCCTGTTACTTGCCAAGCATGTTTTTGGAGCGTTCGAAAATATGCGGTCTTTGAGGGCGTGTTGAACGCGCTGAGCCCCGTCCGCAATGTGTTAATAAAACGTCAGGTATTAGCAACAAAGGTATAGTATCGCCGGAAAAAAAGCGATCAAAACGGTTCTGAATGGAGCCGGACCGTAACAGTACGATTCCTCTAAATCCGCGTGGGCATTCCCTGCTTCGGGTGGGTCGAGGGACGAGGTCCGAACAAGAAGGAGATCCTCTTCTTTTACATATTAACGACGCTACTTTTGTTGCGTGCTTTATAACGCCGTTCTCGAGCACAATGCTGGAAACTGTCTGCCTTTTATCCGCTGATGCTCGCCCGACCCGAATCGTTCATTCGCCCGGTCTTCTCTCTCACGGTATTTTTAGCAGTCCTTTCTTCCCGGCAGCCGGAGAGGATCACGTCATTTCCAGGTGGGAAATTTACGAAATCTTGGAATCGGTGCTCGGTGACTCGCAGACGGGGAAAGCCTGCCTTCTGAGAGCGATCTGCGAGGCGTCCGCGGCTCCTTTCACCGGCGTTCACGGTCTCAGCTCGCAGCTCGTCCATCTTCTCCTCACGTGAGTACGGAACCCACAGACCCCACGGTTGTCAGAGCAGCGTTGTAGTGCTTGTAAGCCACAGCCACTTACGTATTCAACCTTCCGATTCTCGACACTTCCTTCGTCCCGACGACGAAATGCTAAACAGCTCCGGTGACTTCTTCTTTTGATAGCCACTTGCGCTGCCATTGATTTGTGGATGCGCCAAACCGTATGTAGTCAGAGTTCTGAAGAATTACAATCGAATTATTGCAAGAATTGTAATTACAAAGTAATTCAATTACATTGTAATTCATAATTCGGATCGAAATTGGATTAAATTTCAAAGTAATTCAATTACATTGTAATTTGTGTAATTCAGATCGTAATTGAATTAAGTTACGAAGTAATCCAATTACATTGTAATTCGTAATTACAATTGAATTACTCGAGGAATTGTAATTACAAAGTAATTCAATTACATTGTAATTCATAATTCGGATCGAAATTGGATTAAATTTCAAAGTAATTCAATTACATTGTAATTTGTGTAATTCAGATCGTAATTGAATTAAATTACGAAGTAATCCAATTACATTGTAATTCGTAATTACAATTGAATTACTCGAGGAATTGTAATTACAAAGTAATTCAATTACATTGTAATTCATAATTCGGATCGAAATTGGATTAAATTTCAAAGTAATTCAATTACATTGTAATTTGTGTAATTCAGATCGTAATTGAATTAAATTACGAAGTAATCCAATTACATTGTAATTCGTAATTACAATTGAATTACTCGAGGAATTGTAACTACAAAGTAATTCAATTACATTGTAATTCGTAATTACAATTGAATTACTCGAGGAATTGTAACTACAAAGTAATTCAATTACATTGTAATTCATAATTCGGATCGAAATTGGATTAAATTTCAAAGTAATTCAATTACATTGTAATTTGTAATTCAGATCGCAATTGAATTAAGTTACAAAATAATTATATATAAATAATTTTTCATAGGGAAAAATAATATAATAATAATAAAAATATTCATAGGGAAAGCGACGACGCGTTTACGCGAAATCACTCTTTGTATTCGAATCTTAGTATTTCAATTACGCTCGTGATCAAAACAATTAGTCACTGAATTAACTCAAAGGTTTGAATTACTTAATTGAATTACGTACAATTAGCACAATTCTGTATATAATGGAGTAGACACCCAACAACATTTTAAAAATTGGACCAAATGACATTAATTTTCTTCAAATTTTAGAGGATTTAGTTTACTTTACTACATAATGAGAGCAGCAGTTTTTATGGACTTTTGCGAGAACATCTTGTACCCAAACCAAATTCAAGTCAATGTCCATTGTCCGTTGTCCGACTACCACAACATGATTACTTTGTGGCCTGAAAATATCATTTTCTACATTGTGTACCATATAAGCATTAAATTTTTATACCCCTTTTGTAATAAATAACTTGGAAATGAAGATGAATTTTTTTTCTCTTTTATTTTTGTCGTAACGTATAAAAAAACGTTGTAGACTATTAGATTGCTTTATTAGTTTCAAATAATTTGAGAGCATGGTAAACATGACATGTTTAAAATTTTGATAAGCAGAGTATATCAACAAATCTTTCGCAAAAAATGTTCAATAATATAAAACATATTAATGAGACAGGACACCATATTATCGCCAAGAATGAATCCTTAAATGACAAAAATGAATCATTCTTTCAAAAATACATGCCAATTTTATACCATTTTATGCCAACATTTTCTACCAACTTCAACTTTGGGAGCTATTGCATCTAATTTCGATAGTGTGTTAAACTGCAATCGACGACATCGAATTGAAGTACTTTATCAGATAGTATCAGACTGTCAGATAATACAGATTTGAGTTACAGAACTACCGACAGGCACGGCATTTTCACAGAGAGATTAGTATGCTGTCGATCAAGATTCTTAATCAGCTGCGACAGCCAAAGTCAGCATCGATCACGATACTTATACCAATAAATATAGTTTATGCCCATTGTCAGTTTCCCAATACTTATAAATGAGTCTGCCAATGGCAATGCAGTATGAATTAGAATTGCAATGCAGCTAGAATTTAACAGAGAACTGTAGAACCGTTTTGCTGACTTCGCAAAGATAAACGAACTTTAAAGTCGATTTTATCGAAAACGGAGCCTCGGATAAAAAGATGTTATACCAAATTTGTTTTTTATTTTTTATGCATAATCGCTCTCTGCTCGATTGTACCATGAATTCCGGCTCCCTGTATAATCACGTCATGGTGGCTGTGATATATCGTTTCTATACACCTTTTACAAACTCCTGTATTCTTTATCTTGACACAAGAAACCCTTAACTGCTTTTAGGATGGTGCATTCTTTTTACTCAATTTTCGAAGTCTAATTTTCTCGCAGATTTAATGTTTTTGTTGACTTTAGACATCGCTATTTTTATTTATGTTTCAGCCCTTCGTCGACTTCCGACCCTTTCAGAACTGATTTCGATCGAATATATCATGCTGCTGAAATGCTAGGACGAACTGCAACTTGGAACTGCGGCACTTCGTTTTCCGAGTGCGAAGAAAGTCTCTTGGAATATTTTACAGAAGTTCATGAATAATAATTGTAGGAACTATTTAATATTTCATTTAATATACGTTCTTTGTCATTGTCGTTTTCTTTCGTTTCGCCATATTTTCCCTTTGTGTTTTCTTCCCTTTTGTATTTCCTTTTGTATCTCTTTTAATTTTATTTCATTTGACTTTTTCTTGTCGCAATGCTTTTGATATACATTTAAATAACGACAAAATTGAATCTAATACTGTAACTATATATTATCCATGTATTGTATATTAAACGAACGAAAATTGCAAATGCACAATAAATGCATTAATTAATTGTTTACGATATGATACAGACAAGTAAATCTATATTACTTATTACTCTTTTCCTAGATCATATAATTGCAGAAGACAAGAAATCTTTTGACTGAAATGCATAAGCTGAGTTGATCAGTTTGAACTTGTTGATTGCCGCTGCATTACACTGCAAAATCACACAAAATCGAAATAATTAATCATAATTACATTACTTCTTTAACTGTTTTAGATGTTACAAATCATAAATAAATCAGTTTACACTATTATAATTCATCAAAAACTAATTTTTAAAAATCGACGAAAATATCATATTTTAATGAACTTTTGTAATTCCAATCAATTGCAATTTTTGCAAAAATTTGTTTAAACATTCTTTAGTAGACCGGTCAGTCTAATATCTCAAAATAATGCAAGTCATCCGATCCAATTTTAAAAAAGTTATTGCATTCTAAGGGGTGTCCCAATAATATTAGTAGCTACTCCCTATTGCTTAGAATTCTGTTTGCAGTATTTTCTTCGAGTATATGTGGCTAAAAACAGCTTTGCAAAAGAATTCATTTCACTTCGAAAAAACAAAAAAGTTACAAATGTTTGAAGCACGCGTACATATTTATCTTCGTTCGGCTTTCCTGCATTTTATGCATATGATAAAACATGCTAATAAAGTTTATATTATTATTATAATTTACTCCTTTTAGTAAAAATCCACTAGTTGCGCACTCTGCACGTATGTCGAACGTTTTAAAAACTTTAACGTCGATTAAAACGGTCAAAATACCCGGTTCTTAAAATTCTAAAAATTCTTAAAAATTCTCAAAAATTTGTTAAAATTTAAAAAATTCTAAATAGCTTTCTTGATAAATGATCAATTAAATCTCTTTCTTCAAACATTATAATAAACACAACTAGATGTGTCTAAGCAAATTCAGTTTTGTAATGCAGCAGCACATGTCGGACGTCTTTAGTATTCAGCAGGTTTAGTGTTAAAGCTGTCCAGTCGGATTAAGACCAACATGTAACACACTTAATCTTACGTCTCGCGGACTGGGAAATTCAACGCCAACAATTTCTGTAACAAGCTTTATTAGACGCCTCGAGTCCGTGCGTTAACGACCACCCGAAAGGAACCGCTGGACACGTTAAAAGAAAGGTTCACGAGAAGCGTCGCGTCGGGAAGCTGCGGCTGAAACGAAACACTATACCGGAACCGGTTGGGATAATTTATGTGTCCCGATGTCGTACGATATTAGAAATATCAAGGGAAGAAAGGACGCCGGCGGTGGGTCGGACGGCGTTGCGGGGGTGGGAAAAGGGTCGTGGGTCGGATGGTAGGCGGCGAGGGTGGACGGGACTCGCGGCGAAACGTGACGCAGTTATCCGGCGTTATTGGCAGTTCTCTCGTTCAATAACAGGTACACGTAAAAGAGAAAATACTCCGGTTGAAATTTATAGAGGGCGTAGAACGAGCGCGGAGCGGGGAGCAAAAAAAATGGCCCGTGACGCCGGTGACCGAGAGAACCGGTCGCGAGAGCGAGAGAGAGAAGGCCGAGACAGAGAGAATGGTTTCCCAGAACAAAGCCATTCGTGGTAATTAACACGGGCCGACAATATACGATTTTACTTCCGCGTCGTTACAACGCCACCGAGGCCGAAACCTTTGAGCTTCGCGGTCTCTCTTTCTCTCTTTCTTCCTCTCTTTCTCTCGCATTCCCTCCCTCTCCCTCTCTTGTCAGCAAGCCCTTGCCAGCACCCCTACACACATTCTCTCTCTCTTTTTTCATCGTTTCATCGCACGTTCACAGCCTGTCTCGGCCTGTTTCATCCGCCCCGCAGTCCCAGTTAGTTAATCGCCGATGATTCTCGTCAAGTGAGTATGTCGAACCCTCTACGATACACGGAGGAATTCACGAGGACAATCTTCTCGAGAATTTATCGCGGACCTTGCGTGCTAGAGTAAATGTACCGTTTGTAACAATGTTAACCCCTTGCCATACTTTGACGAATCTGACGCGTGATGGAGATTTCTAGTAGTAAATAGTGTTAACCACGGAACTTTTGACGGAACCCGTCAAAATAACGGGTCACTAATTTTTTTAATTCACGATTACATTTACGAATTATTTATTCAATTTATATGTTATTTAATTTTTATGTTACTTACGGCAAATGTTACAATGACACTTGTTAACAATCAGAATAAATGTCTTATTGTTGCTTATATAAATTAATACAAAACAGCTGTTTTTTGTGCTCCATAAATTTAGTGTTAGATATAAATGCTACTGTATTTAAACGTTTGAGTAAATGTAGATGTTACCGTGAATGACCGAAATTGGAGGATGTCGACTTTCACCGGTGAATGTCAACAGATACCAAATACGTCGGTGAAAGATCGAATATTTTATTACATTGTTGTACATTCGGACCTTCTCCGGTGTATGTCGACAATCACAGATATGCTCTGGTGGAGGTCCAAAACCTGTCATTGCAAAAGGAAGTGTTCCACAAATAAATGCAGTTGTAAAAGCAAGGGACTCTTCTGCAATTCAAAGTGTCATAATAGTTTAAGTTGTTGCAATAAATAAGATTTGAATCGCATAAGTAAGTAATTTTTTTATTACTATTATTTTCTTTTCTCATGTAGAATGTACCGTGTATTTTAAATTCTTGGTCATTCCTTTCAGAAAGAGAGGCGAAAAAGTTACGTCACCCTTGTGGCGTTTTATAGCGACTGAATTACGGAGAAGAAAATATAAATCTCCAACATGTTCAACATTCACCATTAGTGCATGGTGAATGTCAACATTTACCGGTGTAAGTCAGAAATAAGGGTATTTAGCAAATATTTCGGACATACACCATGTGACTATGTGAATGTTGACATTCACCGGTGAAAGTCGACATTCTCCAGATTTCGGTGTTTCACTGTAACATAGACACAGAATAAATATAAATGATCGTTTTCCTTCTTTGAAATTGCTACGATCGAAAAACTTCTGATCATTGTAACTATAAAGAAAATGGTACGGCAAGGGGTTAAGGATATATGCGCAAGATTTAATAGATGATTTAAAATCTCTAGTTTTGATATCCAACTTGCAACAGGCTAACAAAATGATTAAAGAATTATTACAGTGCATAAAATAGTAAAATACAAATTTGTCACGATTTGTAGCCATTTCTACACCATTCCTGGCCATCTCATAAATTTCATACTACACGTATCATAAATTTGTAACAAGAAAGAAATGGATGTCCATTTTTTAGTATTTCTTTTAAATTTCGAGTCATTTAAATTTTTGTATTAGATTGCCATATACAGTATTCTCTCGCCAACTGTCAAAACCTTGCTATTCCATGAATGACGTGGTGCTATTGCTATGCCTATGTGATTTAACGATTTTCTCGCTGCACCAATGCGAAGGTTCGTCGGTGTCAGTCAAGCGTATGATGCGGCACGCGCCGCGTATTCCCGGAAGAGAACACAAAGTGGTCTGTTTGGGTGCGTGTCAGGTAAAAAAAACCGCGAAGCTGCGAAGTACGTGATAAGTACTAGGTACGTGACTGTCGAATCGTGGTATCTCTCCTTCGAATATCGTCGAATAGAGGCCATCTATCTACCGAATGTCATCGAATTGAGGCATCTCTTCTCCGAATGTCAGTCGAACGTAGGCCCGAATAGCATAACTTCACTGATATTTTCTGTCGAACGACATATACATATAACTTCTTTGACGTTGCCTTGTTACATATAATGAATAAAGATGGTCTAAAGCACGTCGTGTTTGGTCTCATTTTAATTGGAAAATTCTGACTAATATATTAAAAAAAACTTTCATGTATAAAAAATTAGAAATAGAAAAGTTGAGTAATCGTTTTTATTCTAGTATTATTCTGGCCAAGCCTTTTTTTGCCGATTGCCTCGAGTTTCGTTCTCTCTCTCTCTCTCTCTCTCTCTCTCTCTCTCACTCACGAAATGTCGACAACTATAAAAGCGACCCGCGAGGCTCGAAGAATCGTGTCTCACTATTCTCATACTTGCCGGTTACAATTCCGTCCCCGCGTCTTTTAGAGTGACGTTAGTGTATTATATTTGACATTTGACAAGTAGAAAAATTGCGGTGAACAAAAATAGAGGTACAGTGATTTCTCCTTAGATGGCAAATTTCGGGTTGCTGTGAATTTCCCAGTGCTAGTCCTACGGTTATGTGATTTTTTGCTACGTCGATGCTAAGGGCCGACGGAGTCGGTCAAGCGTGCAATGCGGCACGCGACGCAGCTCTTTTGATTCGGAATTCCTGGAAGACAACAGAAAATGTTCTGTTTGGGTGTACACTGTTTTGTACACTTTCGATCAATAACTTTTCGACCAAATCAGAAATCTGTAGGTTTTTACAAATCTTAACATCTGCAATTTGACTTTGCGTTAACCGATTTCGATGAAATTTTCGGCATCAATATGAGATACCGAGATCTAAAAAACGCATTTTTTAAATTATCGTTACAGGCTCGCACAAAAATGTTAAAAAATGCGAGTATTTTATTTTGTTCCGCCAATCTATGTAATTAAATTTTTTTTTAATTTTGTAGACATACAAATCATTCGTTCCAATTTTAACCACTTGCGCTGGCAAAAAATTCACCGACGCGTGTACCAGAACGGTCCAGTGTAACTTGCTGGGAGGCGTCACAGAAATCGGAAAAAGATTTATATTTTCTAAACTAATTTATTTTCCATTTT